CATGATCAGCAACCCAAAAAACATGGGTATAGAGAAAATCAAAACTATAGCAAAACTTTCCTCTGAACCCCCTTTATTTTCCTAATATGCTTAGCCTACTATCATAACATAAGATTATGAATTCTTTTTTGGTATATATATGTATATTCAATAGAAACTCTTTTCTTGAATATAATATATGTCACGTTGAATTTCATTTACTGGACACCCACAGAATGAATTCGAAATTGAAAATCTTCTGAAACTGATGATAATTTGCATTCTCTCTCAGATAAATGGAATACACATAGATAACATCATTCGAAACATTTTGGGAGATGTGTGTATCTATTTATGCCAATGTAGGCTAGATAGTATGAAAAACGTAGTTTCTCATTCTCATCGAGAAAGAATACTTTTCTTCCTCATATCTGATGATTCTATGTGCATACGTCTAGACGGAATTTATTCGACTGCTGTATATATTTTTAATGTATCACTTTTCTCGCACTGGTAGTAAAATGATTCGTGTCTTCCATTCTAGGAATTTGCGCTGATATAGGCGACTGATTATGGACATTCCTCCCTCTCTAACATCATCATATATCAGAGACTTATATATGAATCATAGCTGTCCTCAAAGCGGGACCATCTTCTATCTCTATAGGTAACGAAATCGACCAAAAGGCATTGATGTCGTCGTAGGGAAAAAATTCCACAATATGGCTACTGATTTCAAATTTATCATCCTTCACTTTTCGTCCTTATAGATTCAGAAAGTACCTCTCATTTTGGTCCTATTTTCGTTGAGTTATCGTAAAGGCGATGCGCCATATATAGAGATAGTACATATATATGAACATCATACTCGATTGGATGAAAGCACGACGCTTTGGTCATGGTACGTACTGTCGCAAGGCGCTCGTGACGATGAAGCCATCCAACTCTATAGTCCAGTAATGATGGAAATAAGTAGATGGTGTACTTACTGATGCGCTTTTGTCTCAGAAATTCTTCTCGACCTCCCGAGAGTCCCGTGAACAATGTTTTTAGCTGTTTTCGGATAGATGGCGACATCGCACAATCATGACATCGGCCAATTTGTTGAATTGCTGCCGATATTTCGAATTCAGTGTTCAATTATTCCACTGTTACATATTATGTTTCGCGTACCAAAAATGCCATTTGCCATTCTATTTCCACTCGTCGCAGCAGCTAAAGCAGCATCTCCATCTAGCGGAAAAATGTAGAATCAACGTCCCGCTCGATGTGACGTAGAAAATTCATAGTAGGCGATCGAGTGATTTTCAAGTTTTCGATACGTTAAAATGGCCGACTACGCGCACCATCTACTCACTCCCATCTTTAGTCCAGTTCTGCTGATATGCGGAGGATCCTCTTGGAAAACGAAAGGATCAAGACAGTTTGAATTGACTGATATTGATGACTTCACAGCCGGTCATAGCTATGGCGGTCAATTCGAATTTCTGACAAATTGTGCAGAATAGATTCATTTCTTCCATTCAAAATTTGGATAACTGTTCGATAGGTCGATGCGTATTCCTATAGGTAAAGAGTGCACCTCTCAAAATTGAACCTTCCCTCAACTCTCCTCTGTTTCTAGAGAAATGAAAAAATGTTGAATGCAAAAGTTGTTCGAAATGACTGAATTTTCATTTCGAAAGTTATTCATAATGACTTGAGTTTTCATTTTGTGATGTTCTGTATATACAGGGTGATTAGTTTTTTCCGTAAATGACATCAACTCAATAATCTTCAATGAAACACCTTGAATATATATACAGGGTGTTTCACAGGTGAAGGGAAATATTTCAGTGGTACATAGGGGTCACCAAGGTGATTCTGAAAATACCATATTTGATAGGTCTCAGAGTCTTCATAACGGAGATACAGGGCGATTTATCGATTTCGAATAATTATTCATTCTTCTATAAGTATTGAACTACTCGGTATATTCTCCTCAACTTTGATATGGAGCTTGAACTTGGGACGTTGAATCTATTCACCTATCGGGCGGAGCGGAAATCCAGGTTCGGCTTCAGGAAAAATTAACATTTATTCGAAATATTAAAATAACACACTGTATGTAATAACTAGCAGATTTCATCGAAGGAATTCTGGAGATTGCTGAGATAATGATATTGTTATGATTATAGCATATAACAATCTAGCAATGAAGTTTTGTATTCTGTTCGCAGAGTAACTACAAGACTGGTTATAAGTTCAAGTGATAGCAATATTGTTGAAAAATTAAAAATTTTTGAGCTGAAAACACTGTTTTGTTTAAGTGTTAGGTAACGATTTTGCCATTATCTCATGAAGAAGAAGAGTTCATGATTTTCTAACCTCTCAAATCAGTCAGTCCTGCACTGACATTTTACAAAAAATTATATTGTTCAAATCGAGAGATTTTGTATTTGCTGAATCTGGTCTTCGTTGTGCGACTGGTGCAAGTGATCAATCATGTCCTCGAGATGAGAAAACAACTAAAAGCCGGATGAAACAAATCGTGATTTTTTTTTCAAATTCTAGCATAATAGCGTTATAAACTATCCATCAGGCAACTGAAATTTCTCTGATATGCTGAAATTGTAGTCTCATATTTCCCCTACAAATTGGATCTTCAAGAAGAGGTTTTCAAGTAGTTAGTCACGGTAGTGTACCTATCCAATATGTTTGTATTCACCATTCTGAGTTTTTCAATAATTCTTCCACGAATTGAAACTTTCAGGAAAGGTTTTCGAGTAGTCAGTGACACAACTGAACCCTCATATGTTTTAAATCCACTATTTTCTGAATTTTCATACAGTTGGAAGAATTTGTAGTTCTTAAACAGAGAATCCACTTCCTTGTTATAAGATAGCAAGCACGAAATTGATGTTGCCGAAATAACAAGAAAACTAACCAGATGTCATTGAAATTGACAGTTCCTATTGTCAAAAATCGATGATAAGAGTTCCACTTTTTGTAATCTTCCTATGATAGCAATATCTTCTCTACAATCATATTGCTATTTGCGAACAGAATCGACCCGATTGTATAGGAATTCAAGTGAAGTTCCAAAAGTGAACCTCAAAATGATAATTGAAACAGACCAATTTGATAGTGTTTCAAAGAAAACATTCTCAGATGTATTATGAACATATAAACTATAAAATATCTGAAGAAATAATAAAGAAATCAAGGTAGATTATTCAGCATATGAACGATGAACTGACGTTCATCATACATGGGTATGGGAAAATTGTGAAATGTGATAACCCAATCACGAATCAGCGATTGAAGGTCTGTGAAAGCAAATTTACAAATAATCTTGAATAAATTCGGGAATACGCACTTAATTCAGTTACCTGGTAAAATCGATAGACAGTTCTTCAAATGACGTATCCATCTGCGTGCTCAATTTTACTGAATGTTTCTTCTGGATTCTGGCCTTCTTTGCTATATACCATGATCTTTAACATTTTTTCCTCCAATACATGATGAATGGTCTACACATAATTCAGTGAGCTCACTGATCCGTTTGATGTCTGTATTTCATCATAGTTTTTTCCTTTTTTTTATAGATTTGTCTCAATGGAATCTGATCAGGTATCATTATTTCCTGTTATGTTAGTTCTTTGTCTCTTCTTTCTTTCTCATACACCGTACAGGGAAATGTCTAGGTAGTTTAGGAACAATTTCTGCATCTAAGATCATCAATCACCAATCGGTCTGATGTTGTGCTATCCTTGTATAAATGTAGTTAAAAAAGTTATCCATGCAGGAGCAGCACGGCGAAATCATTTCCAGTCTTCTGCAGAGTTCACGGTGATTCAGTTTTGTTTCAATGCCCTCTGCAAGGGAATGTCTGAACTACTCTCAAAATATTTATACAGTGGTTTATACTGTCTGAATGCTTTCTAGCAATATGTCGACAATGAAAATACTGAAAGTAGACAAGCGTCTAGCTAGATCAGCGAATCCTCAGACATCGAGGTCAAGTGACGTCACCCGCAACACATGATATCTCTTCCTTATTTATACATATAGAAAAAAAAATACTTCGAGTAAAGCGATAGCTAAGTGGTCTGTGTATCTGACTTAGAGATATTTTATCTTCTAAGTCTTACAAACACGAATAACCTTCTGATATCCTTGAGGTTTGAAAGATTCGCTGGTCTAGCTAGACGCTTGTTGTGAATAGATGGTGAAACATCAAAATACATTTTATACCCACACGATTCCCAAACGACACCATCTCAGAAGCCGATATTTCCATACACGTCTTTGATGTTGATAGATTCCCTAAAAACACACCTCAATCCATTGGACATCCATTGGACATCCTCAACCGGACATCCTGGATATCCATAGGATAACCAGTTTGTGTACATTGGACACCCTATGGATATCCATAGGAAATCGGCTTTCCACATTTTGGGAGATACATACGTTATCCAGTATGGACATCCATTCGGTATCCATGATGGACATCCATTCGGTATCCATGATGGACATCCATTGGGTGTCCATTATGGACATCCATATGGTATCCATATTGGACATATATACAGTATACATATTGGGTACTATGTATCCGTATGTACTGAAATATACAGGGTGTTTCATAATTGAATGTCCATAATGAATTTGGCATTATTTTTGAGAAATTGTCTTTACTCCATAATTACTTTAGTTACCCTTTTTTAAAGCTCGGTGGGATCAAACAGTTGTACAGAAAAATGTATTTCCAGTATTATTAATCGTTTATCATTAATCAGTAGCACCCCAAAACAACTTTTCATGATCATTCAATTACTAAACACCAAACACCATGTATATATGTATATTACAGAAAAGACTATTGACTTTGAAACATGTAATTTATGGATCAACAATAAAATACAAAATGAAAATATGTTCTTAAAAAAAAAACGAACAAAAATGTACTAAAATATTATTTTGCCTGAATACATATTATATGTGAATAAACTCAAAATGCATTCTTTGCCAACACCCTAATGAGATTTCTTGTTCGAGCCCAGTCTTTCTCTCGCCCTTCTCAAATATTTCTTTATGGCGTCTTCAGCTTTCTTCACATCCCATGAAGCATTGCATTTCTCAAAGGCCTCTGTGGAATATATTTTTTTCATATTCCAACCCTAATAATATAAAATAATGCATGAAACCTATCATTATACTCACTGAGCAAAACATCAGCTAATTTAGTTTTAACTAGAGCTTCTTTTTCTTTCGTGCCAAGCCAGGTATATTGCACAGCCATTTCGTTTGTCAGCAGTCTTCCAAAGACCCTTCTTGCAGATTCATATGGGGAACTTCCCCCTATTCTCGATATTCCATGAATCTGAAATGGAATGTATGTGAATGAATAGAATTTGAAAAACCCAATAAAGCAATGCCACTTACAGATGCTATGAAGTATTTTTTTTCAGATAAAAATTCTTCGAATTGCTTCATTTTTTCAGCATAGTCTATGGGCAAATCAACATTTTTGAAAAGAGAATTATATTCCTTTGTGTCTGCTTTATTAAAAACGCCCTGATTTCCAATACTTTCCATTTCTTCTGAAATTTTTTTAACTTCATTGACCAGGTCAAATATCATTGTGGTTATCATATTCTGTTTTCTTGATAAGTACTTGAAATTGTCAGAAACTATCGTTTTTATGTCTTCCTTCATAACAGATAATGCCTCAATATCTGGAAAGTGAATTATTTCATTTTTGAAAGTTAATGTCCATTCACATTGCATCGTTGGAAATGATTACTTAATCGCTCACAATGATAAATTCAGATAAATTACCTTTCTTGTTTTGTATCAAACAGCATCCACAGTCAAATTCAAGAACGATATCTGATCTAGCAATTACTTCTTGCTGTTATATATTATTTGAAGTGACTTCAGCGATAGTGTTCTGGATTTTGGCATTGGTGTTCGCGGCAGGTAATATCTTGTCTGTAACAAATATGTTATGATATGAATAGTTGAATGAATGAAGAATGAATAGGCAAACTAGAGGACATTTTATAACTTGAAACAATTGATTAAACATGACATTTTTTATTCACTTCCTGTTTGATTTCACTCAATTCAAAATGCCACTAGTTCATCTTTTCTACCACATTCGGGATACATATATACAGGGTGACTCACGGTCGATGGTAAGTTAGACGTTTATGGAGAACGCAAGGAAGTATTGTTCTGAAAAGCACAAATTTTGCCACATGTTCTATCGATCTAGAATATAGATAAAATTGCGACGTTGCCGCTTCTATCGACAAGTCCCAGCAACTTCATTTTTTAAAAATGGAACACCTATATTAACAAATTTTTAGATTAGCCTCCTCATTACAATACTCTTTTGTTGATAATTCTGTATACATATCTCTATCAGTTAAAGTAATTTGTGTCGAATACACTCTAAGAAAAACTGGAACACCAGTTGACACCAGCTAACACCGAATGATTTCCTTAGAGGTCCTGCATATTTCAGTGTTAATTCACACCTATTTGTAGCGCACCGGTGTTTGGTGCTATCTCTGCACATTTCCAGGTAAGATTTGTGATTTCGAAATGGATGTAAAGTAATACCAGTCTAGTGTGTTATGTGCGATATTTTCTGATAAAGTTCGCACTGGTCTGGTGTGAATCACAATACTATTGATCATGAAAAACATCAGTATATTTGAAGTCACACCGGAATGAGTTTACAAAATCATCATCAAATGATCAAATCTACAATGAATACGGTGTTCATTTACACCAGATCATTGAATTCTTAACCGGAATTGTGTCAATTCTAATTGAGGACAATTCTTCATCTGACACGAATCTTCAGAATTCTGACACATTTAGGTATGTTCAATCAATTTGTAATTCATTATAGTGTGAAATATTTTTGTTGAGATATACAGGGCATCTCAAAATTGCTGGGACACAGAGCTACCACAGGTAATACGGGTCAAAATAAGTTGATTGGACCCAACTTCTTTTTATTGAAAAATATACCGTTTGTCCGTGAGACGTGTTCAGAGTTTTCATAAATAAACATATTTTCAAAAGATCTACAATTTCTTTCGGGATTCTTCGATTACTGAAAGAAGAGTTATACTCTAAAATGCACTTTCGTCGAATATCATCCAATTTGTTTCACTCATTTTTGAACAGCGATCAGCGAACGAAAATGTGTTTATTTATGAAAACTTTAAACTCACCTCACGGACAAACGGTACATTCTTTTATATAAACAAGTTAGGTCCAATCAACTCATTTTGACCTGTATTACCTGTGGTAGCTCTGTGTCCCATCGATTTTGGTGTTGTGTCGAAACATCGAGACAATTGTTTCTGATTTTGACTCCTCAATAAACTTTTCTGAGCATTTGAATTTTATTTTTATACACTTCATGATAGAAACAATCATGCACTTTACACTGGAAGAGCAACATGATCCGTGCTTATTGAAAGCACAGTGAAGAGAGACAGTGCTGAATATTGCTCAACGTTTACTACGAATGGCTGTGGAACTCTGGAGTCTGGAGTGTGGAAGTGATAGGAGCACGTACACAAAGAAGATGCGCAAGGTTGCCAAGCATCACGATATGAAATAACTAAGTATATGTACCTAGTTTCATGATAATTTGATGAACATAGGCAGTAGGTACTTCAATGAAATTGTCCTCATAAGTTCTTGGAAATACTTCCGTTGGCAAAGAATACCGAAGCTTCGTCGTTCCATTGACAAACGTGTTTTGGAAAGGAGTTGTTTGACATAATTCTAGATTGACGATGATGTGCTGACTCAGCCTGTCGAGTACGTCTGACGAATGGTGTACCAAAATGCATGTAAGCTCTGCAGTAATGATACAGAATGTTGCAGTCGTTAATTAGAGAGCATTATCCTCTATTGATATTGAATTCATCAACTTCTAATCATTATCTTACACCACGATGTTCAAAGTGTTATATATGAAATAGGTTTAAGTAATATAAAATAGACGAGGTGGCAACAGTGTATGGCGACAAATTTGTTCCGATGTTTTTCTGATATTAGTGGTGTTGATTTACAACTATTCCAGTGTCATTTATTCTAGTGATATCAGAAAATACACTGGTTTGGTTATCAATCTCATTACTAGGTGAATATCTTGAGGAGGAATTATTCGTGTGAATATGGATACTTCATAAAATTGATAATCACATGAAAAATATGATAGTTGATCACTTTCATGATATGAATTTTGAAAAATTACACCTACTAATGATAATTTTTCAGAATATATCAACTTTGTGATTCATGAATAGAATAATTTTATGTTTACAGTTTGAATTCAAATAATGAGTATGAAAAGTGTGATTCCGAATTCAGATTTGCCATAATGTATCACGATTTACACCGTCGAACCCCACGATATCAAATTCCCAATACTTATGATAGGATAGTACAATTTTGGTGTTGAATAGGGTTAGTGTTAATTCCAACAGTCTGGAATTTAAAAAGACACCAACAGTTTTCTTAGAGTGTATGGTCCAAAACATATCCCTAATTGAACACAAGCAAATTAAGGCTCTGAATTCATGACGAGTTGATATTCCGGAGGTGGTTTGGAGAGGCTTGATGTATTCAATTCACACCGAGAAATCGCCTCAATTATAGGGCCTGCTGGAATTATCATATGCGTTGTTCATATAGGTGGTCAAAAGTTATTTTTTTTTAATGGAACTTCCTTTTTTTTTCATTTGATGAATCGAAAAATGAAGAAAAATTGTACCATCGACCGAGAGTCAACTGAACTGAGTTGGCCGACTCGTTTGAACACCCCTGTATAGAAATATTGTTCTCACTTGAAAAAATTCGAAAGCATCATGAGTCAGGGAATTATAAAAAAAAAATCCAAATGAAAAAACATAATGAGAAAGGGACCAAAGGTTTTCAATTGCTTGATAAGAACATTATCAAACTCATAAGCATATAGGTACAATTTTCCACATTAATATCAAATCAGATAACTTCTGGACTGCACTTGAAATAATAAATTCAATTCTAATAAAATATACCTCCCTACTGATAATCAGTGTTGAAAAAAGTGGTTTCAGAATAACATTGAAATTCAAGGATTTTTTATAAAAATCTGAGAATATAATTTCACCTTGTAATTCGGAGGATTTCCCAATTTTCGACGTTCTCTGAGGGGGATCTGCAATGTTACTAATTTCACCTTCATTCCCTGAAGAGGACATTACTATTTTTTCACGATTTTTCCTATTGTCTTTATCTTCACTACAGTCACTGCTATCATACTCTGCAGTTTTGGCTCTTCTACGAGCATCAAGGTAAGAATCTAAAAAGAAAAGTTCCTAAAAATTGAACGTGTTTGTTATATTCGCAAAAATGATATTATTGTAATAATGATAATAATAATGATAATGATCATTTCTGGAAAAAAAAAATCATTACAATGTTTTTTCGCTGAGGTAAGATTTAGAAACAAGAATTAGAAAGACCCATTAGAACCACAGGATCGAGCGCGGGTTGGCCAAAATGAACAAGTTAATTCAAGTGTTCAGTGATGGAACATAAATTTGCTTCTTATCAAAAGTTCCATTTCTATATAAAGAAACTTTATGGGTGGGCCAACAAGTATTAGGTTGCTCATGGTTTCGTATTACAGCAACAACTTTTTCGGTCGTGTACGTCGGCCAATAGCAGTACAGACCTATCAACCATGAAGTTGGTACAGCTTCAACTGTGTTCTCTTCTATGAATCTCACAACAGTCCAAGTTCTATCCATACTTTGTCTGAAAAAATTGTCAACAATAAAGCATACCAGAAAGTAACAAGATAAAAAGGTATCATAATCTTGTTGAAATTGAATATTATTCATACCTAGGAGACACCAACACAAAAATTATCTTTACTCAAGGAGGATATAGATTTTTCATGATGTATTTCATTATGAAATGAATGGATGAGTTTTCGTTGGTAGACTCTGGAAATATGCAGTGTGTCCCGCTTATAGATGCTATGAAGTACAATAACTCTAGTATTTTGGAGTCATAAAATGATAAATCAATCACTATAGGCGACATACACTGTATATCTACCAGCATTGATTGAAATTTCAGCTTATGAAATAAAGTATTTCATTCTACACTTTTTCCAGTTGTACTTCAGAAAGCGTCAATTGAGTACCAAATGATATTTTCTGAAATAAAAATGACATTTTCTGAAAGTCAATTGAATATTCTAAAAAACAATGGACATTTTCTGAAATTAAATTGACTATTCTGAAATATGATTGACGGTTTCTGAAATTCGAATGACTATTCTGAAATACAATTGACGCTTTTTGAAATACAAGTGACTATTCTGTAATACAATTGACGCTCTCTGAAATTCAATTGAATACAATACATTGACGCTTTTTGAAATTCATCAAGAAAAGGTGTATTCTCTACTAGAATCAAGTATATTAATTGAATCGATTTGAATTTTAATCAATCTAAATGTAAGAGTGGAAAAACAACATAGCTATCATTATATAACAGTTTCATACATTTTTGTGAAATTTCAGTGAGAGGCCAAGTCTCAAGTGGTCCAAGATTGCTGCACAAAT